TGAGATGGAGGGTTAGAAAGCAGTTGGAGGATCTCTTATTGCAGGAAGAGATAAGTTGGAGACAAAAGTCTAGATGTAAATGGTTAAAGGAGGGAGACAGAAACACTAGATTTTTTCACTCTGTGGCAAAAACTAGAAGAAGGAAGAATATCATTTATAAGCTAGAAGTTGATGGAGTTGTTCTTTCCCAACCAACAGAAATAGCAGAGGCTTTTGCAATCCATTTTAAATCAAATTTTGGAAGGCCTCTAAATGAGAGGATTTGGGTGGAGGGGCTGGAATGGCCAACTCTTAGTTTAGAAACCAAAGTGGGGTTAGAAAAAAACTTTGACTTAGAGGAGATAAAGGAAGCAATATTTTCAATGGATAGAACGAAAGCTCCAGGCCCAGATGGATTTACAATGGCATTTTATCAGGATTGTTGGAATATTGTGAAGAAGGACCTAGTGTTGGTTTTTGAGGAGTTCTACAGGAGGGGAATCATTAATCCGGGTTTAAACTCCACATTMRTTGCATTGGTCCCTAAGAAGAAAGAGGCATCACATCCAAGGGATTTTAGGCCGATTAGTTTGGTGAATAGTCTGTACAAGATAATTGCAAAAGTCTTGTCTCTAAGAATTAAGAAAGTTCTTCCATCCATTATCACACCCAATCAAGGAGATTTTGTGAAGGGAGGGCAGATCACTGACCAAATTTTGATTGYAAATGAGAGCTTAGAGAATTTTAGGAAATCCAAGAAAAGGGAGTGGTATGCAAACTAGATTTAGAGAAGGCTTATGACCTAGTTGACTGGTCCTTCTTGGTGGAGGTAATGAAAAATTTTGGTTTTGGAGACAGATGGTGTAGATGGATCTGGGGTTGTATCAGGAGTTGCCATTACTCGATATTGGTGAATGGAACTGTGGTGGATTTCTTTTCGGCCATGAGAGGAATAAGACAAGGTGATCCACTCTCCCCCTTTCTCTTTACTCTGATTGCAGATGTCCTGGGGAGACTGATACATAGAGTCGATTCTAGAGACTTAATAAGAGGTTGAAGAGTCGGAAGGGGGGAAGTACCACTTACACACTTGCAGTTTGCAGATGACACAATCCTATTTTGTGAGGGTGGGGATATAAGATGGATCAGAAACCTAAAACTGACAATACAATACTTTGAGCAGATGTCTAATCTTAAAGTGAACTTCGATAAGAGTTGTGTGGTGGGAGTGAATTTGGAGGAAAGGGAAGTAAGTGATTGTGTAGGTGTGTTAGGGTGCACTATCTCGGAGTGGCCTATCACTTATTTGGGCCTCCCCCTAGGAGATAACCCCAAGAATGAAAGCTTTTGGAACCCAGTAGTAGAGAGATTTGAGAAAAGGCTTGCTTCTTGGAGGAAAAATTATCTTTCTCTTGGGGGAAGAATCACCTTGATTAGGTCTACCCTTTCCAACCTTCCTATTTACTTCATGTCAGTGTTAAGATTCCTACAAAGGTCTCAAACAGGATAGAAAAATTAATGAGGGATTTTTTATGGGAACCAGGAGTGGAGAAGAAAGACCATAGGGTGAGGTGGGAAGTGGTAAATAGGAACAAGAAGCTAGGGGGGCTTGATATTGGGAATATCAGGAAATGGAACATGGCATTATTGGGGAAATGGTTGTAGAGATTCTTGTTGGAAAGGGACAAATTGTGGATGAAGGTTGTGGCTAGCATACATTGGTTGGATGAGAATGACTGGGATATTGGATTTTTGGCAAGGACTACTACCGAATCCCCGTGGAAAGCCATTCATGATCTGCTTCCAGTTTTCTCCCCTTGGATCAGGTACGACTTGAACTCCGGTAATCGAATAAAATTATGGGAGCAAATTTGGGTTGGGGACCTACCCCTGAAAGACCAATTTCCATCATTGTTTGCTTTGTCAGATTTGCAAAATGAACCCATTTCCTCCTAATTGGTTCCTTCTGATTCTTCTTCTGGGTTTGGGTGGAATCTGGGGTTGAGAAGGGCAATAAGGGATACGGATTTGGGGTGTATGTCATCTTTGCTAACCATTCTTGAAAATGTTTTCTTGAACCCTAGTAAGGGAGACACCAGAATCTAGACCCCTTTTTCACCCGGCTCTTTCTCTTGTGCTTCGTTTTTTGAGACATTAGTCCAACCTACTACACCGCTTGGGCTGTCATTCCCAGTGAAAGAGATTTGGAGCAAACCTATTCCTCCTCGGGTTGGTAGTTTTTGTTGGGAAATTTTCCTAGAAAGAGTTAACACAAATGACTTGCTTCAAAGAAAGAGGCCCAACTGCTGTTTACTTCCCAATAGGTGTATTCTTTG